CCATCGGTCGGCAGACAATGATTGGACGGTGCAAAAAGACGCAATTCATGCAAAACTCCACATGTGGCCGGCGCAAATATGGTACCCCTAGAATCCTTTGGTAAATGGAACACATGGCTAGAGCCCGCAGATTTGTGGGCCTGGTCTTACTGTTTTGCGCCACCTTCATCCCTAGGTATGGCGACTGAAGGTAGGAGGGCAAGCATGGAGACAGGAGGACCACAGGTTCGGAAATGTTGGTCCGCCTACGGGTTGCATGGTGATACCCTCTCTTCGGGCCATTAACAAAAACCAATGACGTCGTCAGCCATCCCAATGTCAACGAAAAAAGGGAGAACTAGCTTCTGTGGGTACCAAATGAGCTTTCTTTATGAGCCATAAAGAAAGCATGTCCAGCAAAAGAGTTGCTTGGAAGCCTCCAAAGGCTCCACGGGCATCAACTCGCTCAAGCTCTCCTCAGCCCTCGGCGCAAGGTCGGTTCATCACCCGAATCGGTGCTGTCGGCCATGCACCACTTCTCACGGGTGACTCTCGTTACTAAGTTGGTCACCAAGTTCAATCTGCATATATACTACCTCTGGAGCTTAAAAAGTAAACGTAACCACTGCAATTCAGTATATAACATAATGCTAAACCCACCAGAGTGCTCTTGGTTGCACTGTGAAAGTGCTCAAGAAAGGATTAATCCGGAGGTGAACACATGGCAATGGTCTCAAATGTCAAAACCCGACTGCTTTAAATGGCCACGTACTGATCTGGTTGGTTTGATGTCAGCTTCACACGGGGGGGGTCTCTGGTGAAATCCGTTTGTCGCAAAACAGGCATTCTCATACACATCCATATTCTTATATATTCTTCACAAGATGAAGAGGGCTCATCGAGGACGGCCGTCATCTATCCAAGGCCAGCACTTGCGAATCAGTTTCCTTGCCACGTCCAGCGTGACCTTCCAAGCCACAGAGAAATCTGGACCCAGAGGTGAATATCCACGGGCCGGCGAGCCAATCAATTCGCAAAACCGGTGCACCGAGTCACCCGTTTCTGGGTACCAGTGGCACCGGCACAAAGCACAAGCAACCCGGCACCAGCGCCTCCAACCTGGGTTTTCTCCTCTGGCTGCCGGAGGGCACAAGGAATTCCCTCAAAGATATGCTTTCGAGGGCGAATCGGATCATCCATGGACAGCAATCCAGAGCGAAAAAACAGGACCAATGATGCGATCCTCCCATATGGACCCTCTCTGCATCAGAGACACTGCATATGGATCTTCAACTTCTCTTTGGCCTCGTCCTGTGAAGAAGTCAGATACGTGTCGGTCAGTGGGAAAATGAAAACTCAAAAACTAGATGGATGTGTTGACAAGGTGAGTAAATGTACACGAGCCTGTAGCCTGCTTATCACGAGACATGAGGAAACCTCGTGTAACCTCCTGATCCTGCTGTGTAGAAGAGACTTGTCTACGCCTCTCACACGACAAGTATAGTGGTCCGAACCAAGCTAAATCTGCCTCTCTTCCTACTTCTGTTGTTGCCTCCTGTGCCTTCCATCTTTTTGCGCACAGGGGCGCAGGAGCTCGAAACCCATGTTGAACCCGCATCCAAACAGAGGGCAAACCCCACTGTACGCTGCAGCTCAAATACTTGACCTACATAGCCCACAGGTTTTGGGCCCTGCACAAGCTGCAGACTAGAAAATCATCCTCCTTTAAGACACTGGTGAAAAGGGAGTCTCGTTCTTACTTCCCCATTCGTTGGATCTGCCCACCGCCGGTGTGACGCAAAACCAGCGTCAGTCCACGGTGTCAAGGAAGCGATCGATCGCATCGGCCACGGTCTGGCGGGTGGTGCGACCAGGATTGACATTGCACGAGAACATGCAGATAAGGAACCTCCCAACCTACCAATCAACCAATGACGTCAATGTAGGCCTCAAGGTAACATGTATTCGACATTCAACCGCATATGTGGGAGAGGCATTTTTGGGCCAGGGTTGTTTCCAACGGTGGGTTTCAGGTCGGACTGTATTTGCCGCGTTGGCAGCGGCATTTGTTTTGGTTTGCTTCTACTGGGACTATTGGGACGTAATCTGTGTTTGTATGTTGCATTGGGACTACTGTGCTTCCAGCAGAATCTTCTGCTTCTTGGGCGTACAACCATAGTTGCCATAGTTGCATCACCGTGCCTTGTATTGTTTTTGAGCTAACCTGTCCTTGTATAGATTCCCTGTAGTTTTATTCGTCGCAGGGTCCCCGTCCCGTGGAGTCGCCCGCCTCGATCGGTGCCGAAGCGTCCTGGGACACCTCGTTGGGTTCCACCTGAGACGGTCGCTGCAGGAAAACAAGCAGGGGATGATTTCTCTAGGTTGCTCTTGAAAACCCGATTGTTACTACTTTTGTCCATGATAAGAATCAACCTGTAGGCACAAAAGCAAGCCCCCCACAACATGGACGCCATGCCGATTGCCCCACAACATAGGAGGACGAGCATGGCTTTGCAGGAAAAGAAGTGGCAAGATTGCACACAGCAGACAAAACACTGCATTTCTGTCTTAAAGTGAGAATTCCTCTCCATAACAATGCCATTAAGAGCCAAAGGCTATCGAAGAAAGACACTCACAAACAAAACGTCTGATATGGATTGTACTGAAACCTAGGCTCAGAGTTCTGGCTGATTTGGGAGAGACTGAGAAGAGCCAAGAGGATAGCTTGAAAAGTGCCGATCTTAAAAGAAGCTTTCCACAGGTGGTGGCACTCCTCCAAATCCGGGAGCGTTGACCATCTTGTGCTTTCGGAAACAAAAAAATAAACTCACTGGGTGCTGGACAGTGGAGTTCACTGTCAAATTGAACGAGAAATCTTCAAGGTGTCCAGAGTGTCCTGTGCCTATGATTCCAGGTTCCAGTACGCTTGGGTCTGAATTGCATGGGGGTCTGTTCTCTTGGCTGAAGATGTTTGTTTGAGGTTCCCCAAGCTTGACACCCCATGATGTTCCTCTGCCTTGCCCTCTTGCAGTTGGAGAAGCTCTATAAATCCGAAGGCAGGTATTGAAGCGCGGGGTCCTGTGGGGTTGTCTAATTATATATATTGAGCAACAAGCAATCGAGTCTCCACGGTCTATAGAATCTATACGAAGCCGGTGTAAAATCCGACTAAACCCATGGAGAAAAATTAAACTGTGACGGTAACTATAACTATAGACTGGCTGGAGCACTTGCTTTGAGCCACCTGCTTCGCAGCCTCTTCCTGCTTCGGCAGCGACGGCAAAGGCGGTGCAAGCGGCACAGGCACAGGCGGAACGCAGCCAAGTCCAAATGGCCTGAGACGGTTGGTGGCGAGACAAATGATGGGAAGAGACTTCTACGTGTCGTCCAAAACGAAGCTGTAGAAGAAGTCACCGTAATCAAACATAAGCAAGAATGAGGACGCAGCAGGCAGGACATTTTTCAAGACACGCTCACCACAATGATCCAGATGACGGAAGTACAGCATTGGCGTTTGGATGACCTGAAAAAGGTGTGACTGGAGCCTGAGTGGGCGGATATGCAACGCCTGCCAGGCCTAAACAAAACAGAGAAAGTTGCTTGAGAACATGAGGCCTTCGCTTTTGGACAAGGGGAAGACCTGGCAATGGGCTCGCTCATTTGGTGGATGCCTCTGCACTCTTCGGGGTGGCAATGGGATTTGCTGCAAAAAGCCCCATCAAGAAAATGTGAAGAAAGTGAGAAAGCCTTCAGGCGAGTGTCCCAAATAACCCTCCAAGGACCTGTGATGTTGGACATTAGCCCCCAGTTGAGCGGAGTTGCTGTGGCATTGCAGGGGGCATCGTGGCAGGCACTGTCGGAGGCAGCACTGGAGGCATCATCTGAGGCAATGCAGGAGGCATCGCCGGAGATGTAGACAAGGTCTGGCCGGAGGCAGGTAATTCACTGTTTCAAATTCCATTTGAGATGCTCTTGACTCTTGACAAAACAGGTGGGTCTGCAGGCTTGCTTTTAAGATATGTCTGCCAAAGTCACGATTCTTGTCATGTGTGGTTGAATGGCCACCTTTTACATGCCAGCGCTCTGACGTGCACGCTCTGACTTTACTGCGAAGGACATAAGCACAAGAGTCACAAGAGGGGGAAATCTACACCAGTGCGACATAGCCAACATGCAAACATGCCGGATCAGCAGCCCCGGCCACATCACTCAAACCTTGGCTGTCAGGATGATGTCAATGTTCTGAAACTAGCTGATAGATGCGACATCTTTTCTGTGCGAAGAAGGAACTCGTTCAACAGAACACAATCAAGATTGCCAGCATATGAAGAACAGCACAAATGTGGGACCTCCGTGTTCGTGCTATTGTTCCACATGAGAACTGTCACAAGTTGAGTTGAGGCAAGTTGGTGATACGGGGAAACTCTTCAGGAGCTGGGTGTCCCGTCCGGCATTCCAGCTAAAAACATCAATACTCCAGGACAGAAACCCTGGATGTCCCCTGACCCAAAAAGTTGCCTTTGTTTTCTGTAGCCCGCGCCTAGTTAATTAAGTAATGGAGAAGGTGGCTCCTGGCTACATAAGCTACTAGTATGGACGCAGGATAGCGAAGACGCATCTTCAAGGAAGCTCCCCGCGCCCTAGGGCGGGAGGGAGCTTCCTTGAATCATTGAAGGCTCGCACTAAGGATTTGGTTCCTAGATCTTGAGGGAAACTTAATGAAGTGGTCCCGATGACTTCAACTGGGAATCATGAGGGATTATGACAGATCCTAGAAAGGCTGGGGACAGCAGGAATGTCAGAATCGCTTCTGCAGTACCAGATTGAGGTCTGTTGGTATCTGATTTAAATCTATCTGGAGGCATGCTGGTTATCTTTTCCGTGATTGGTGGGCATGCTCTATATAGTGGGATTGACGACTGAGGCAAGCTCCAGACTACACGGGGTTCTTGAACTGGAGATCCTTGTGGCGAATAATACTGGCTGTATCATAGGAAGAACAGTTGCCCTCGACTGATTTTCCTCTCACAGCAAAATTGTAAAGCCACATGTTTCTTTGACATGTGACACACCAAGCACAGCTGCTTTTTGCTGCTCAGCATGTGGATCTCTTTCGGCCTCAGAGGCACACCGCGCTCACTCCACAGGGCCCCAGATCTTGCCTCGGTGCCGCGCATGGGTGCCGGGAAAGCTGCCCTCAGCCGCCCCACGAAGACGTTGATGCGCAGCATGCCAGAAACGTCACAAAGCGGGAGTTGGCTGCTCAGCTTGTATCGAGCCACAGCGGTCCACCAGATGGAAAATAAACTCCTAGTTTCAAGGGGTTCAAGTTGCCAAGAGTGTTTCCCGATATTCATTGACTTCTGAAGCAGAGTCCTCCACTGCCGGATACCAGTATCCCAGGACCGCTGCACGTGTGATAAGATGCAGCATGTAAGCTGCCCACAAGAGGTTGTTGTCTGGGCTTATGTGGGCGATTGCGCAAAAGACCAGCATGGCGAGAAAAGTGGCATCCCTCATACTGCTCGGGCGTGCAGCCCCCACAAAAACACCATCCATGAGGTAAGCAGTGAAAGAGAGGGTTGGCGCGGCCCACTGCCAGGGCAAATAAATCGAAGCATAGTGAAGTACCTCTTGATGTGAGGTTAACACCCCCAAGATCTGATGTCCGAAGACCATAAACAGAAGCGTGAAGCCCAAGCCAAGCAAGAATCCCCAGGTAAGAAGTGCCTGAAGCAGGGTGTTGAAGGAACCAGGTGAGTGACACAGTGAATGTGGTCACTGAATCTCTTCAACTTGGTGACAACTGTGGAGACTTTTTCAAATCACCTACATCACCTCCATTTAGAGACCTCACATGAAATACAATCCACAAGTCGCAGCTTTCATCATTTGTCTAAATGGTTCTGGCCTTCTTCCAAAAATCGTAACAAACTCAATTCAACACCGATCTTCACCTTTCACTTTTAAAAGGTTCCTACCTCCGTCTGCATGATCCCAGTTTTACTTTCTAAGCCATCCGTCGTCTGCATCCATGATGATCTGACCATTGACATCCATGAACATTCATGAACATTCAACATCCACATCTGTCATCCAGTCATCCATGTTCAGCCAATCATCCTGATCATTCAAAGGCCCACATTCCACAGGCCCGTGCCTGCACCGTCCGGCGGACCTTCCGAGGGTCTCCTTGGCCGATGGCCTCTCCCACCAGCGCCTCCCCCGCGTTGGCAAAGCCATCCGCGCCGAAAGAGATCAACATCTGCACGGATTGGGACATCTGAATATCCGAGCAAAGGAAAAGACCTCACCTGGCTTCATCACTCCTGTGTTGTCTAAAGTGAACATTCCAAAATGCCCGGAGTTCCCTGAAGAGTGGAGGAACTGTGTTTGATGTCTTCGCATGCCTTGACCGAATATATGCTCGTAAGGGAATCTCAACTCGTCTCGTTGAGTGAATAAATCGCGACATGTGGAGGTCCACATTCCAAGAACTAAAGACGACAGCCGTAGACTGCCATAGCTAGGTCTGACCAACCTCCTCCAACCTCCCTGTACGTCATACATGGCCGACCGCCCACAAAATCGAACAAACGCGACACCCGCTGTGCACCTGTAGCTGCATTAGCAGGTTGTTCGCCGCCAGCGCCGAGCTCCCCAGCTTGGCGCTCAAAGACGTAAAGTCCTGTCGTTGTGAAATCGAACGACACCAACCGGCGCCTGGCCAAATCGAGCAAAACGATCCATGTCTTTTGGGTGAAGGTGAAGCCTACATGACCTGGAGAGGTAAACCTTCAATCCAAGTCATTCATTCGCTTTTGATCAGGTATCAGAAACTATGAGATCAGATAGAGATGTTCGAGGCCATTGACATCCAACTCCAAGTTGTTTGAAACACCAAACGACTGACCAGTCAATGGAACAAAAAACCTCCCAACAGAAGATAACAGAAGTGATCTGTCCGTGACAATGGTCATCATGCAAATGGAGCGAAGGACCACATTTCCATTCAGGGAGGCCAGCCGCAAAAGCCGTTGTGGCTGAAAAACTAAATGCCAATTGATGGCCAAGGGCGCTTTCACCTGGGGACGCAAACGCAAACAAACCAGCAACGACAAGTCCGGCACCACCCAGCTTCAATTTCAGGAAGTACTGGGGTGTTTGGCACGCACCACTGCAGAAGAAATCACATCAACAGCATGATCTCCTTCTGGATCAAAATCCAGACAACTGTCGCTACAAGACCACCCAATTCAACCCCCAAAACCCTGTGTGGGAGAAAGCCTCGACCGTATCCCAAATGCTGTTGCTGTTCTTCTCCCTTGATTTTCGGCCTCAAGCTGGGGGTTGATATCCGCCTACAAGGCAACGGCACCATCGCAAGTTCACCAACAAGTGCCATGTCTTTGCCAGGCAACTTCAACAGCACGAGCCTTTTCATAGTGCCATGTGAGTATGCCAACAGGGCAACACGGCGGCATTGTGCCCACATGTGTAAGCACAACAACACCACTGCAAGCAAGAGCCGGCAAGACTGCTCCGGAATCCGCTCCTCCGGAGCCTGCCCGCAAGCAGTGCGACAGCGTGACCCCTTCAGCATATCACTGTGACCCATGCCTGCACGCCAGCATGACAACACATCGGCGTCACACCGCACAAGCACATCAGCGTGACAACACAAATCATGGCAGCGTAGCGACGCAAAGTGCTCCGGAAAGTGCTCCAGGTGCCCCGGAACTTCCACCAGAACCTCGTCTGGAAGAACCTCCTCTGAGCCTGCTCCACCCTATATAGAGTCCAGAACCTGCTCCGGAACTTTCTCCAGAACCTGCTCCGGAACTTGCTCTGGAACCTGATCGGGGACTTGCTCTCGAAC